TTTTGAAGAAACATAATTTTAATACATTTATCTGCAGCAGACACAAAGACCTATTGAATCACAAGCCGCTTGCCTTATGTGTGCAAGCATGACATGCAGGCACACTTCACTTAATTTTCAACTCTCTCAATATTATAAAGCAGTTGCTTCCAAAACCACATTGCAAGCAATTTCTTTCATAAACACTGCATATATGAAGTACTTCCTAAATTGGTAAATGTCTAAAATTGAAAACGGGGAAATCAGCATTTTTTGACTAGCATTTTTCATTTTTGGCAATATTCTGCTATTACAATATGTATAGTTCCTAATCTAGAGTTAAAATACAAGTCAACGTTCTGTTTTGTACAAGTATTGTCTTCAAATTGTGCCAGGGAAGTTTTTGGAAATGCTATGACTATAGTGGTAGTGCAAGGGGCAGAAGATATGCGCAGAGAAATGTACCGATTTTATTATCACTATTTTCTAGATGGTAAAACTTAACAAGCTATTCTTATCATTCACATGTCCAAACAAATATGGTGAAATAATAATACTAAGTGCCTGTATTCCTCTTGCTCTTTCAAAGCATTATTAGAAGACCTCGGAGATCAGTCTCTGACATCAGCAATGCATTAATGAAATTGGAAAGGTTATGAATGGTATTCATCTTCTCATAGAAGAGAAAGTAAAAGGTGACTGCTTTTCCAAAGTGATTCATCAGTATTTTTTGACTGCAATTAATACATTAACATTTTCCCTTTTCAGAACTTTATTCTTTCGTTCACTTAATGTTTATTACAACTGCAGTCACCAAGATTATGTTAAGACTGGGCTACAATTTCAAAACTCCAATCTTTTCTACTTAACTAAAAATCTGGCAAAGGAGAAAATATAAGTAAAAGAATCACCTAGCAAGACAGTTAAGTGCTAGAACAAAACTACAGTATTTGCAAAGAGCTGCGGGACTCAGCAAAAGGAGGGGCAAACTTCAGGGTCTGTTTCTTCAAGGAAAGATGGGTGGATTATATATTCTTTGAGGAAGATTCAGTGAAAGCAATATAATTCACAAAAGACTCATGATCCAAGGAAGATAAGAAGGAAGATGAAAAGTAGGAGAAAAAGTCATGTAAAGGCAATAAGAAAAGAGAAGTATTAGGGCACTGGAGATAAAAATCCCTCAAGATTATAAATGTGTGCAAACACACGGGTTAGAGTCTAGAGTTTACCCAGCTACACAGTGGCTCTTTCCTTGGGAGCGGGAATATTCAGGATTAGCATAGCCAGTCTAGAAAGACAAATGGGTGAGTGTGTGCAGATTTCCTGGAATCTATACAGGGATCCTGCTTCCCTTCACATAAGTGGAGCCATTGATGTCAGCAGCACACAAAGGTTCCTTTAAGACTTCTTATATGACTTGGATATTCTGGTGTAGGATTCTTCTGTTCAAACTGTTTTAATATTGCCATTCTAAATAAAGTACTGACATAAGATCTCATGGCAAAATGTCTATCGTAACTATATAGTCCAGAGTCATCTTCTGTAATAAAGAAATATTATTGAAAATGTGAAAATGGTTTTCTGAATGGTTGCCGGTCAGTTCCGAGAATTCCATCCAAAAATCTGGTGGATACCAATGTTAAATTCTCTCTCTCTCTCTCTCTCTCTCTCTCTCTCTCTGTGTGTGTGTGTGTGTGTGTGTGTGTGTGTGAGAGAGAGAGAGAGAGAGAGAGAGGGTCTTAGAAACCAAATACTACCTAAACTGTCAAATTACTGTTTTTAAAAAAAGAGTCACTTTTCTAAAATTAGTCTCATGATTTGAAAAGAAAAAAGCAGGAGTGAATTATAGCTAACTTTCTGTGAGCAGATGTCACCTCCAACTATGTCAAATACAACTTTCAATTAGAATGTTCTGGAGTGTACTGAGATGAGATGGTCAATGAAACACCAGTGCAGGAAATTTGCTGGGTGTCGTGGTCTGCAATTGTTGGTATCACAAGAAAGGGTACTAAGTTCTGCACCTTGGTGAATAACATTTATTTTTTAAAAAATCCTCTCTTAGAGCAAACATCCATTGTGGAGAGCCCACTCTGCTCAGTGCTAACTCCGTTCTCATAACCAAATTGGGCATAATCACAATAGCCATTGTCATACTTTGGTCATGAATCTCAGTACTGTGCAAAAACAATCTGGAGTTGTGTCTGTTGTTTGGAGGATCCCTGACAAATCCGTGCCACTTGTATGGTACAATCTAGGTAGAACGGCTAAGGCTGACTGTAGTCAGTAGGTACACAATGAATGAACTGGAAGTCTACAGTTGTGGTGGGAATAATGCTGTATTAATTCTCATAACACCTTCAGCAGAGATGAATATTTTCTTCCATAAAAAATATGATCATCAAATAATATAAGTGTGGATGAAAATTTTAAAACCTCATATTATAAATTAGAAGAACCCTTGAGTTAAATAAGAGCAGCAATTCCGTATGTAATTATTAGCCTCAATCTCTGGCTGCAGTTATATGGTTTACTTGAAATAATATTGAATAAATCATTCTTAACATACTATTTTATGTCACTTACATAAAACATTTAAGAATTAATGTTCTTTGCATTAATGGTACAAAACTAGAAGTCTAAATTTTCATATTCTTTTTCTACAATGCATCCTAAACAAAAAAAGGCCTTCTTTGGATGAGATAAGAAGGCTATCATACATATTTTAAGGAATTATTTATAAATGCACGAACTACAATGTATCAAAGGAAGTACTAATCCTCACGTTTCTAACTCCAGGCACCCAGACAACTAAAAAGCACAAATGTAGACTGCAACGAATATAGGATAATTTTTATTGATACAGCTTTAAAAATCCTCTATTATATCAATTTGGTAGTTTGGCTTCATACACATTATAAAATTTCAAGATAAGCACATATTTGCCTCTGCAAGTATTTCCTTCTCATTTTTACAGCTGATTAGCAACATGGAATAAGTCTGTTACCCATGCTTTATGATACAATGCCTCCAACCCACTCATCTGCAAATCAAATATGCACTGTGGCTTCTACACATCCCGGCAATGTTTTCTTCCATATCCCATGCAGGCCACCAGCAGCAGCCCTGAAAATCATGCATAATGAGCTCACAACTTTTCCTTTGCCACCTTCATTTGAGAACAGGCTGCAAAACTGGATAAATTCTCCGCTTTCAATCTGATCAGGGCTGAAGTTGATGATCAAATTTGAGCAACGGAAGAACTGCATTTATAATTCCCATTCAAACACCAAGAAGACACACAAGGCTCGGTTTCTGATGCTCACTGCTTTCTCAGTGGGCTTGTGGCATCCCAGTTTCAGTGTGTACTGTCGTTCTTATTCTAGGGGACACTAATTAGTTTTAAATGGTGTTAAATACCATCCCTGCAGTTGTAAGTGCTTCTCTGGGTTTTTTTTTTTTTTTAACTAGAGAAAAGAACTCCTGTAATTTAAAACTACTTTGCTTTCCTCAGTCACAGCTGTTAGTGAGACACCGACCTGTGGAAATCTGAAAATGTTGCAGCCCTTTCTCCTTGCCATTGGCCTGCACTGATTTTCTAACTTTCTTTTCTGCCTTGTGCCATGGCGTTTCCGTAATTCCCATCCCCCAAATTGCAGCCAGCAGAGAGACAGCCCCAAGCTGTCGAGGCTTCTCTACCCCTCCCCTTTCCCCTTGCTGGCTCCACTTCCCTACAAAGCCTTGGCTACCATTAAAGAAAATTCTCCAACAACGTGTCAATTTTATATTGGCCACAAAGACAACTTCTGTTGGGGGAGGGAGAGGAAAGAGGGACTGGAGCTTGGCTGTCCCTTTCCACAGACTGGGAGCTTTGTGGCAATCAGAAAACATTTCCTGCATAAGAAATCAACACACTCACTGGTTGCAGGGCGGGGGGGGGGGGGGACAAGAAAGAATGTGCACTGGCTCTGTCCTCTAACCAATGGAGCCTAGGAGCCTAGCCATTAACCTTCCAAGCAAAAGTCATTTTCTCAAAATATGCCATGCTTTCTTACATGATTAAAAAATAACCCACAATCTTAAAGCTTCTGCTAGCTCCCCCACTGAGGATGGGTGAACATCACAAGCCACAGGAACACTTGCGATTCTTCCTCTGCATTTCCGTTACACTATTTTGTTTTGCTTTCCCTACTTAGCTCATTTCTGAGTCTCTCTCTCTCTCTCTCTCTCTCTCTCTCTCTCTCTCTCTCTCTCTGTCTCGCCATATCACCATATCACCAAAGGACCAAGAAAGTATTGAGAAACGACTTGCAAGAAGCAACTGGGGTGGTTTAGAATCTGTCTGTGCCTTCATTGCCACCACCCCCTCCTTTCTGCTGGAGACTTCAGAGGAGGAGACCCAGGGAGCTGTGGCTTCCAGTGTGTTTCTCTTGCCCGGCCAAAGACCACACATAGGGATGTATTGTGCACAATTCTCTACACAAAAACAAGGACCTGGGTGAAAAAAAATGGTCCCTCTTGACTTCAGAGACAGGCAGTCTCCGATTCCACATAGGCTTTCTGTTGAGTGTCTCCTCAAGTCACAGGGAGAGGAGAGAGGGAAAGAAACAGGGGAAAGGCAAGGAAGAGGACATTTGCTGGAGCTGAGTAGAAGCGAGTTTGTATATGCATTTACCTTTAGGGGCACGTGTAGATTTCCTAGCCTGCACAGAAGCACACACACATTTCCTCATTAACCCTTAACACAACTGGCTTCTCATTTCTGTATCTCTCTTCCCCTGAGCATTCTCCCCAGACTTGCAGAGCACACTCCTGATCTGCCCATCTCCTCTGCTTGTCTCTAATGTCATGAAGGCTAAACCTAGTTTAAGAGCCCTTCAACAGTGAAGATCACAAATCAAATTACGTCAAAGCTGACAGAATAAATTAGGCTTAAGGAGTGATCCAGCAAGGGTTACTTCCATGCAAAGCTTTCCCCACCCCCTGCCCCCAACACCCATTCCCCCCTTTCTCTGGGCACATACCTTCTTTGGGTGGTCTTTTAGCCTCCCTGGTCAGATTGCAGACTTGAGTAGTTTGCAGCTCCTGAGTCAGGCAGCCTTCCGTCTGCTCATTCAGGGGTAACACGACGTTATTCAACAAAACCAGCGACTGGTCATCAATTCCCCACTCTCCCAAATGCTGAGGGCAGGTGCACTTTGTGTACATAATTCCACAAGCCTCTGTTCTCCCATTTTCTGATTTTAAGCAACTCTCCAACCAAGTGCATAAGACATGGCAACCAAACTGGCTTGGGCTCACCTTGTTCAGTACCAAAAACTCAAAAAAAGATTTCTGATCTTCTTCGACCTTTTTCTGTAATCCCGGAAAATCAGTTGGAAATACTCGACGTATCTGAATAAAATTTTTATCATACTGTAGAAAAACAAAAGCATTCTTGGAACCGCAGAGTTGCATTATAGAATGGTTCTTTCTCAAAAGATCCTTTATTTTTTCATGGGAGAAATGATCAAACTGATAAGCCAGAAGGGAAAAGTTAGAGCAGCTAAGGTCTTTTTTGGAAAATTTCAGGTAAATGCTATATTTGGTTGGATCTGGATTTTCCAGCGTCCAAGTGCAGTTTGTAAAGTTTTTGGGAAACATTTCACTTACAGAATAGGATCCATAAATGACTCCCTTCACCAAAGTTGAACACCAGAAGTCTTGGGCAGCATTAAATCCAAACATAACCAGGAGATAGGTGGAAAATATATAAATCAGCAGGTTACGAACAGCCTTCATCCTATGTCATTTGGCCTGTAAAAATGGCAGCGGAAGTGAAAAGCAAGCAGAAGACCACAGGCATTGAGAAAACAAAACCCTTCCAATATTGCAGCCAGCTGTTTTCAAGATTTCCGTAAAAAGCCCCTTTTAAAAGAAGGGCAGGTGATTTTTATTTTATAACGCCGGGAAATTACCAGTTGCCGTGCGAACAGCGCCCTCACGTGGCTACTGGCGATGAACAGATTCTCCACATTCAATATAAAAATAACATTTAATAGATTATTAATAGTTATGTCCTAATTCATCCACCAGGGTTTCCTGCACATCCATTATCAATCTACCAAGTGAAGCGGGACAACTGGCTTTCTTAAGTAACCTACATGTTAATTACTGAGATACTGGACTCCCGTTCCCCAGCCTTTCCTCTCCCTCCGTCTTCCGCCTGCGGTAAACACCACCACACAGAATCTAATCTGATAATCTGGGAGCAGCTGTCATCACATCATTTCTTTACTCTTTAATGTGAAAAGTAATCACGATAAATTATAGCCACAACTTTAAAGGCACCAACGCTCATGGGTTCCAGATGGAGGAAGAATCGTCTCCCAAATGCCCCTTTGCAGGGGCCACCATGTGAACTGATGAGAAATTCCCGTGCAGAAACACGGGCATTCGTGTGGATTCATAGGACAGGAAAGCCCTCATCTGGGAAGGGCACAGATGGACAGACGCAGGAAAGTCTTGATGTTCAGCATCGCCACTGAGCACAAGATTTGAGGCACTCATTTCATATGACATGCCCTCCTGGGATGCATAGAGTGGATCACTGTATCTGTATCCAAAGGCGATGTGGGGGGGGGGGATCCCAGAACTGCACTCACTGAGCTCCCTCCAGTCTTTGAATTTTCTCTCTAAATTGTGGTTGTCTTATCTAGCATTATCTCCTGTAAATTAGGATTTACACATTATAGATATAAAAATTGGTATCTTTCCCCCTATTGATCTCAATGGCTAAATTTCTGCCTTTCAAACAAGTGCTCCAGAGCTCTTTTTTTTTTTGCTTGTCTTCATCCATTATCAAAGCATCCTCGATTAGATTTATCTCTGTAAGTTGTTATCCCAAAATAACTTGAATATTTTTCAGCTTTAACCTTTACGAAGTTATTTCTTAGAATAAATGACAGTGGTTTTTTTTTTTGCCCAGCCTTTGAGCTGATAGAAGTGATGTCAAGTTAGTTTTAAAGGGCTTTAGGCTGAAGTCTTTTCCACTATTCTATAAGAAGAGATATTCAGACAGCCATATAGACAGTTAAGAGTTTCCATGCCTTCTCTGTCTGGTCCTCTTTGAGCCAAAGCATAAAACCTTCTTTGCCATTGCATAACACACCAACGCATGCACTCCCAATCCAATGACCAAAGTCCCTGAACATATCTGCATTTGATAGATCATAATTCACATAGTATGTCTTGACAGAGGCCAAACAGCCCCAACTGTAAATCTCTATAAAGCAGCAGTTTAAAATAACACGGGAGCTGACAGGACTACCAGAAGCAGCGTTTTCTCTTCCAAACGCACAGCGCAATGAGGAATGCCTTTTTCCAGTTGAAAAATAAAGGCAATGGTCTTTTAGAGATCAAAATGTGTGTTTAAGAAGAAAACTGGAAACAATCTCCTCCGCGTGTGTAAGTGCATGTGTGTGTGTGTGTGTGTGTGTGTGTGTGTGCTGTAGCACTTCGCAGGCAATGCAGGTCTGCGCAGTGTTCTTCAGGATAGAGTGTAGGCGTTGAAAGCCAATGTGACAGTAAGTGTCTAAATTAGGAATTCCAACCATGAAAGGGGGCTTCATTTTATAATCAGGAACTCAAAGGGAGGTCGTATTTCTTTTCCTTATAAAATCGATATTTCTGCCTCCATTTATTTGACAATGAATGTCTGCAATCCTGGGCTTGTCAGTGATTAGAGAGAGTGGGACAGAGCTGCTTTCCCATCCCGCTTGAGCAGACACCCTTCACGTAAAGCACTTCATTTTTAATCAGTCTTGGTGGAGGAAGTCTTGAATTTTTTTTCCGAATAATAATAAATATGAATCATTGAACTGTCCCCCCCACCCCCACTGCAGGGCCTGTTCACACAACTGTACTACGGAAAATAACGGGCCAGGGGTTGGCTAAGGGATAGTCACCCAGATCTCCAGGATGCTGTATTTATTTATTTATTTGGCTCTTGCTGAGAGGTAAACCAGCACTGAGTTTAGCTATTCTCAAAACTGATCTTCTGGGTGACACTTTAGTTTAGCCGAACATAGACGGCGCCATCACTCCACTGATTTTTTTCCCCCACTAGAAGACCCAGTCCTACTCGATCCTAACTTCCTTTTAACCTACCCCCCACCCCACCGCTAAAATTATCTCAATCACGCACGAGTTGCCAGATTTTCTGGGTCTCTCTCCCTTTTCCTTTCCACCCAGCTCACCTCTCAGAATCGGAGACTTCTCTTAACTTTTCAACTGCGGCGTTTAAGTAAGCTCAGAAATCTCTCCATCCGCCAGCAACAGCCTTGACTTCCCTCCCCACAAAAACTGATCCCAAGCTTCTCCAGGGCGACCCCAGAAGATAGAGGTGACCCCGAGGCCCCCTTCCTTACCTTCCACTCCGAAAGCTCCGGGAGGCTTTTGGTCTAAGACACCAACACAGGCACAGGTCCCAACAACAGTGACGGAGAGACTCCCCTTCGGTCCCAATCACCGTTGCCCATTTTTCCCCCGGCTCAGCTTCAAATAACAGGATTTATTACTGGGGGAAAAAATGCACGCATACGAGAAGCAAAAAGGGGGGACATAAGAAAAGGGGGTACCCAGTGGCCAGAGCCTTGCGCCTTAACCAAGTGAATGAAGCCTCCAAAGGAGAGCCGGGGAGAGGCCCCCTGAAGGGGGACTCGACAGAAACAACAAACAAAAAACAAAAAAAACAAAAAACAAATAACAAAAATGGAAGTGGATTGAGAGCGCAGATGTGTTTTCCCAAACCCACCACCCCCCCAGCAAACGGATTGGCCAAGAAGCCAAAAAAGCGCTGAGAAGTGGCCGCCGGCGGCGGCGGCTGAGACTGCGGGCTGGGCGGCGGGCTGGTGACAGGAGTGCTCCCGGCCGGTGGCGAGGCTGGCGCTGGAGGCAATTGCTCGGTGCGCCCTCCTCCCTGGCCCTCCTCCCTGCCAGGTACTGATGGACCGAGCGCGGCTGACAAGCTGAGGCGAAAAATCCTGGGCTGGCGACGTCGGGAAGCTGTTTGAATGCCCGGAGAGGAGGGAGGCGCGCGAGGGCGCGATATAGTAAAGCTGTGTGTCGGGCGTGCGCGCCGGCGCGCGGCGCTCGCTCTCCCCGGGACTGCGCGCG